AGCAAGTCGATGCTACCCGTTAACTATACATGATGTACAAGGTTAAGCTATATTCCCAGCCATCCCCATAAAAATCGCCTGCGCAGCCAATTGAAGGGACCAGAAGCCAACTTTCTTAAAGCGACGCTTGCGTGCCTGCTCATCAACAACATCGTGAGCAAATGCATCGTATACCTACTCATATAGCAAGTTAGTACCCGCAACTGTGACAAAAAAAGGGAGAGATAACTTACAGCGGCCGAAAGATCATCCATGAGACCGCTATCATAAATGGTCCAGCTGCCATCAAAATCTCCCACTTTTTTTACCAGACGACAATTGACAGGAATGAAAGTGCGTCGCGAATTAATATAGGCGACAATAGGCCTGATCAGCGCGTTATTGATGTAGGAGAGATCTCGTGTAAATATTGGAACAACGGCTCTGACGTTATTAAGGTGTAGTCGCAGGTCTGTAACTAAGAGACGCCTGTCATCACTGACTCTGGCCTCATCCGGCTCATTTGACTCGTGTAAGGCTGAGTCTTCGGTATACTGATTTGAGGTGACAGTGGCTTCTAATCGGTCGTAAAGATCGGCCATCACCTTCGCGATGCTCTCGTCATTGTCCGCAGGGAACATGATATCGGCAACAATGTCCACGGCCCCTTCGTGAATCCACCCAAATGGGCCCTCTACACCGCGGTTAAGGTGATCAATGTTCAATGCATCAATTCGTATTCTGCTGTGTTTTTTCCAAGGCGTTGGGTTGCCGTCATCTCCCGCCCCGTTGTCGAGCTGCGCACCGGTAAAGCTATGCGTTTGGCGTGGATGAATTGTGAATAACGAGTTGTCAAATGACCCCGACATCATGTTGGCTGATAAGAAGTCATAGAACAGCCACTGCTTCCTTAATTGGGGCAGGTCGCAGGAAAATATACTCACGGAAAATGGTCTAAAGTTATTAGGCTGATGAACTGTCACAAGCAGATCACTCATTTTAAACGAATCAATTTCAAAATCCCCAGGATTGTGCTCGTGGCGATATGATTTGGGATCGAGAGAATCGTCTGACCAATAGACGGATCTGCGATCAACAACACCCCGTACCCCTTTCACTTCGACATCGCGAAGAAGTCCCTTACCGTTTATCCACCTCCCGAATGATAGCGTTACATTCACTGTTTCTATTGAAACGTCAAATTGTGTGTAATTGATGTCTTCTTCCTCTTCCAACGGGCCGCGTTCTGTCAGATCGGTGGTAGCCTGGTCACTTAGGGCGGCGGCGGCGGCAGCGGCGGCGGTCTTTGAGGACCCTTTGCTGACATGACCAGTTCCTTGACCAGGCCGCCTCGATACAAACACATTCTTGAAAGTAATCACACCATCCCTCCACTTAGGGACGATAGCAGATTCGAACACCACTTTAACACCAGACGACTTGGTAAGGTAGTTACCAATCCAGCCAGCCAGAGTTTCTATCAATCTTAGTATCGACAATAAGTAGACAGCCAGTAGATTTCACACTTACCTTGAGCGAACACGGTATTTATCGCAATGATTAACAAGGAGAAGAAAGTCGTTGTTCCCAGAACAATCCAGACAACATGGCCCAGAAGGACCCAGGAGAAGAGCGCGGTTATTTCATCAAGGTTGAATGGACGGACACTTCGAATAGAAAACCACTTGAATCGCACCTTGAGTCTTGACCAGAAACCAGTTGCAGCGGCCAATAGCTCCTCTTTTGTTGGTCGGTGGAGGTGCGGCATATGTGGTAAACGGTTGATTATATGCCGGTTCGACGGAGCATTTTCGTGTTTATACCAACGATTCATCGTTTTCGCGCCCGGTGTTTCCTTTTCATGATCATTTCCAGCATCTTTTGCGCCTGGTTTGTTGCTAGCGTCGGTTCGTGTGCTTGTGTTTAAAGCGTTATCTTTTCTCGTTTGAAAGCCCCGTGTTTGTATATTATAAGATATGGTCTGGGGAAGTCGTCTATCAAATGAAAATTTCCTATGCGAGGAAATTTTTTCTGAAGTGATTGCGCATGTTGCTCCAGTCTCTACTGCTGGAGAGCTGGGAGAGACACCGAGGATAAGGAAGCTTCCAGAGGCGAACCGCCGTGTGATTTGTTTTGTCTTGCGGGGGGCTGCAGTTGAAAACCTTCTGGCATGTCGTTTGAAAACAAAGTTGTAGACGGGTTCGGTTTGGGATGCCGTATCGGGGAGATATTGAGAGCGGTTCACGCGCAACCCTCGTCCTAGAAACGGACTTGCCGTCTCCCAGAAGGTGGTGTACAGCTTGCGTCCGAAGATACCAGACATTTTCGCAGTCACATGCTGTACAGCCCGCTATAAAGCGGGAAGTCTGGGGGATAACTCAGCAGATACAACAAAGTAATAAAGTAAGAAGTCCGCAGAAACAGGATGGAGTAGTCGTGTGCTGTGACGAATGCCGACATGAAGCAAATTTAGCCCATGAAATCATCCCGCCCTGTTATCTGGGACTTGTTTGGCTTGTTTGCAACTAAAATCTAAGACTTCCGCACGAAAGTCGGTTCTTCTTTTTAACACCAAAGAATTCCTTGCAGTCCTACCAACTAGAAAGACGAAACTAGGAAAGGGAATAGCCTGAAATAGACTCAGATTCTTCTGGATATTTCAGACAATATGCCCGCCCCAACGGCACTCCGGGCGTCAGATGCTTCCACAGCCGAGACACCTTTTGCCCCTCGTCCTCTTACACAGGGTTCGTACTCGATGGATTATTCGAATTGATCCGAGGGCTAACAGCGCTATAGAACACGATGAGGAAGTACTAATCGACTCTCAAGCAACAACGAATTTAAGTGATGTTCTTGTTCCAGTGGATCCCACAGAGGATAGCGACATGCGTATCGATATGGAAGGCAGACCAGTTTTTACGCCTGCGAAAGATACTCCAACTGCGTATCGGGTTGAGATGCGGAAAGTTCCTGTCCCGCCACACAGAATGACACCATTGAAAGCAAATTGGCCAAAAATTTACCCCCCGTTGGTCGAGCATCTTAAATTACAAGTGCGAATGAACATCAAAAATCGGGCGGTAGAGCTACGCACATCCAAGTTCACCACCGATACGGGGGCTCTACAGAAAGGCGAAGATTTTGTCAAGGCTTTCACACTCGGGTTTGACATTGATGATGCAATCGCATTACTGAGGTTGGATGACCTCTACATTCGCTCCTTCGAGATTCGAGATGTCAAGGCATCTTTGAATGGCGAGCATCTCAGCCGCGCAATCGGCCGCATCGCTGGTAAAGACGGGCGAACGAGGCATGCAATCGAGAATGCGAGCAGGACAAGAATTGTTATAGCTGATCAGAAGATCCACGTTCTGGGGCGTTTCCAGAACATCAATGCAGGCCAGGAGGCTATCGTTAGTCTCATTTTGGGTGCTCCTCCAGTAAGTGACCTGAGTATCCGTTCTTTATTTTAAAGATCGCCCACTGACTTTTATTAGGGGAAAGTTTATGGTAATCTGCGTAAAGTGGCAGCGCGGATGAAGGAGCGATTCTAATCATTTTTACGGTCATTTTGCTTTGATTTACGACATCGGCGTTATTGGTTGGCTGATATGGGATACTACATGATATATTTGATGAGGAAAAGCTTCAAACTGGATCCCCGGGTTTTTGTCCATACAACACTTAAAGGAGAAAATCTTGATTCCGCTTATTGGCGAGATACCAGGTTATTAACAGAAGCTAGGTCTGAATTTTTTTAGTCCTTCTTCAAAGGGTGGTAGACCTCCTCTATCCCGTCTTCCGTAACGACCAACATTTGTAAGCCGTCTCCAACCTCAATGTGTCTTTCAACCGCGCTGGTAAATGCATCTCGAACAAGTTTTTCCCCCGTTTCCCTGGACATTGGCTCGGGCATTTTAGCCTCTAAGGCGTGTCCCTCTCCGCTTCCAGGGATGTACTGATTCTTCAAGTTGACTTGGTTGTCGAGGAATGGCATGATCAAACTAGAAGCAGCTCCTGCGGACCGGCACTGCTCTCTTTCATAAGAGCCTACCGGGTCGTAACCGTATAGAGCTCCCTTACCCTCCTCATCTAGGCCAGCCAGGATAGCTTGGACATAATATGGGAAGAAACGCTTTTGGTAGAGAATGGTTGACAGTCGCTGGGCACATGCCCGAACACTCATGGGCTTCCCGTGTTGGTACTTGTACATTTTCACCACCGCATCGAGTCTCTCCTTGAGTGCGAGCCCATCAGCAGCAAACCCCACTACCGACAGAATAATGTGAGCGCCTTCGCCGGTTGCATCTTCCCCTCCGATCTTAAACACCTTTGGGACGTAGCGGGAGTTGATGTTGTATCCCGAAGTGGAGCGAGTGTCGCCAGCAAGGACGGCAAAATCCTTGCCTGTAATTCCTAGTACCGAGCCTCCGTTATCGGTGTACCTAACATATATTAATCCTATAAGTAAAAAAGCTTAAACCTGTCAAGACCTTACGGGTAGAAAGAGTGTTCCTTGTTTCCAGTACTTGTGGGTTGGGAGAACGAGTATCCGATAGAATCGTTGAGAGGGTTGGGCGCGATGAGACTTGTCATCTTGTAAAGCGTCCGATCGCAGAATATCAAACGTACTAGCTTCCAAGAAAAGTAATTTGTGTGTTCGATTTTGTCTTGTGGGAATTTATAGGTAGTATGGAAGCAGTGGAAGGTAGATAGATGTGCAATGGAGCTCTTTCCAGTGACGCGCTATGTTAGCTGCCTTCGCTTATGTAACATTATTGAATAGCAGGACAATTTTGAACTTCATACTACGTACATACTTGATACTTCTAGTACAAAGTTTCGGAATTATTACACCCTATACATATCATTCATTGTTTTATTATATTTATATTACGTTGGTCGGCTAGATTATCCCCAGCACCCTCTAAATAAGTGACCACCCAGAACAACTGGAGACTTGACTACAAAAGTCACTTGCTTGGTTTAGACCCTCCGTTAATCATAATTTGCGGATCATGTTGGGTCTTGGGAATTATGAAAGCAGTAGTGAGGACGAATTTGAAAAGAAACCGGCATTTAATCCAAAAGTATGTACCTGGGATAGCTGGCTTCAACTGTGAATTGAAATAACCGTTTACCACCCGTCAGCAACAAAGGAGAGCATTACAAGCTGAGAATGAGACACAACGAAATAAAAGTAAGCTATATTCATACCAAACCTGGTTGAGCCTGGACTTATACTGCTTGATAGCCCAACATACATCGAAATCCCAACCCGCAGTAGTATCGGAAACTACCTTGAAACGAGAACCTAGCGGACCTGTACTTGGACCAATGCATGAGGAATTCGAGACTCGACAAGCAGTTGGTGAGCAGTCATCGACATCTCGTACGTTAATTCATGACTTAACCCTGCCACCAATTCCAAACCTGGATATACCACCGTCACCCCCAGGTTCGCCAAATCCCTCGTCAAATGCGAAGTTTGCACATTTCCTGTCGTTGAAGAAACAAGATGTTCACTTTAATGACAAGCTAGCGGGCTCAGCTTCTCTCAAGAACCCAAGCTTAATGAGAAAGTTGATGGAACATGCCGGTATAGATGATCAAGCGCAATACTCCAGTTCCTTGCCACCTGACTTATGGAACATATCAAAATTGCCAAATTGGGGCTATAAGGAAGAACTGTTGAGGGCGCAAAAGGGACACAATGCCAAAGCGGAAGAGGGCAGGTTGAGGGGGCAAAGGGACATCGTTGAATTTGTATCAGGCTCAAGTCGACCGGATCCTGCCTCACATCCTAAATAGAGACCACGCTAATGATAATATGGGAATGTCCCTTGTTCCTAATAATTTGCTGCTTTATATACTCTTCGACTCCGGCCTCGACGCATAAGATTCTAGTGATGAGGGGTTATTGAAATCAAGCTTCTTCACTTAGGAAGTCACTACACGAGAGAAGTAAACCTACATAACAAAAACTTCAATTGAAATTTACCCAACATCAGGTCGTTTTTTATTAGATGAAACTCCCCTGAAATAAAGGTGTGCAAGAGTTCGAGGACTGTGCTCTTCTGTCCGTCATACCCACGTAGTCTCCATAGGAATGGGCGTTCGATTGGGTTCACCGCCTGGCACGATACCGTAGCCTGGCTCACGTAACTGAGCTCCGTCAGCTCCACGACTGCCTAAGCTAGTGTCTATCTCATCAGCCTTTGGCTTCATGATACAGGTTTCCCTCAGAAATAATCTGCCAGCTTCTTCGTAAGCGCTTAGTAGCTAGGCCTCCTTATACATCTCCAGCATCAGCTCCAAGCAAGCTTACTACCACCATGGATCACTTTCCTGGAACCTGGGGTCGGGTAAGAGTCCCATCGCCCAGCCGTTGATTGTTCTTATTCTGACCTTGTGGTAAGCCCAGGAACGATGTCTACGGAGCATACGATTCATCTTACCTCCAGACCACTGGTCCTAAAACTCACACTCAATCGCCAGCTGTCACTGGAACATCGGTTCTAGCCGTCAAGTTCAACGGAGGCGTTGCTATTGCTGCTGATAACCTGGGTACAATTCTGCCTTTTCACTTTCGTCTCGTGGCCATTTTCTAACGCTTGAACTATACAGCATCCTATGGATCACTTGCCCGTTTTACTGATGTCAAGCGTCTCCGCGTATTCAGCGATTCCGCTGTAGTTGGGTTTAGCGGCGACGTGTCGGACATGCAGTACATCGACCGTCTTTTAGAGTCTATCGATATCAAGGAAAACTACTCAGCGCATGGCAATCAGCTCAACGCCAAAAATCTCCACACATATCTGTCTAAAGTCTTCTACAAGCGGCGCTCCGAGTTTAACCCTTTGTGGAACCATATCCTCGTGGCTGGGTTCGATTCAGACAAGAAGCCCTTTTTGAGCTCTGCCGACTTGCTCGGTACTACATTCTCGGCGCCGCATCTTGCGACCGGCTTCGGTGCCCATCTTGCCATTCCGATTCTGCGCAGATTGTTCCCAGAGGATAGACCCATTGAAGAGATCAGCAAAGAGGAAGCCGTATCAGCTTTAAAGGACTGTCTCAAAGTTCTGTGGTACCGTGATGCACGAAGTATGGACAAGTATTCGTTGGCTCTGATTACACAGGACGGGGTTGAGGTACATGAGGATCAGCGGATCGAGGCTCAAAGCTGGGCGTTTGCTGAAAGCATTAAGGGATACGGTGCCCAGGCTGTTTAGTTTGTCAATCCAAGGCTACGAAACATCTTAATAGAACGAAATTCAGGCCTCTTCTATTATCAGCCCAGATACCATGACTTAAAACTTTATAACCTACTTGAACGATCGGAAACTCCACGGTATAGGCTAATTTAAATCATTCAAAATCACTCACACTAGAGTCTCGCGGAGGGTTTGTCAAAAACTACTTTATTGACGCAGGAACCGACTCCCTCGAGGGAAACTTCAACTTGGTCGTTATCTCTCAACCAGAGCGCAGGCTTCCTACCCATACCGACCCCTTGAGGGCTAAACAAAAAAAACATGTGAATTTAAAGACCTGGGTTTTCTTTGAAGGGGTTCGACTTACGTTCCAGTGAAGATCAGATCACCCGGCAACAGTGTAGTACCTTGAGACAGAAAAGAAACTGTCTGTGCGACGTTAAATACCATATCCTTGGTTGACGAAGACTGAACCTCGCGACCGTTCAACTTGGTCGAAATTCTCAGGGCATTAGGATCCCGAATCACCTTTGAGGACACAATGCCTGGTCCAAAAGGCGCCCAACCATCAAAACCCTTCCCAAGTCCCCACTGGCCACCGCCGCGCTTAATTTGCCAATCGCGATGGGAGACATCATTGCCAACAGCATAGCCAAGAACATGATCCAACGCCTTGTCCTCAGGAACCTCCTTGGCCTCTTTCCCAATCACAATGACAAGTTCACATTCGTAATCCAACCCTTCTCCTTCCTGAGCCATGGTAGAAATAGGGATATCATCGGTTGGACCAGCGACAGAGGTAACAGGCTTGTAGAAGAGAACGGGGTACTTAGGGATGGGAAGATTTGATTCCTTCGCGTGTTGTTCATAGTTCAGACCAAGGCAGCGGACAGTTTTGATGTCTTTCCTTGCTAGTGGTGACAGAAGTAGCTTCACCTCGGCAATTTGGTCGGTGATGTGATGCTGTCCGAAGATATCACCATGGATGACTCTTGCCTTGGTAGCTGTTGCAATGTCACTGACGCCGGCAGGAAGAGTGGCATCTCCGTAGTAAATGTGGCCATCCTTGGCCAGGAAGCGAATGAGACGCTGCATAGAAATCGTTATCAGCTTGGAATCCAAGGTATAAATTTAACCGCTCCGTTCGCTACTGGAAAGCTAAAAATTGCGTATGCATTGCTAAGGTCGATACAAAACGGGGTTGACTTACCGAGAAAGCGGGCATGTTAAATGAAGAGATCGGTTGTGCAGATAACGCTAACTGTAATCCGGGCACGGTATTCTCCCTGTATTGAGATTATGGGATTATGCAATTGTTTGTTGGAATACGACAGGAGAAAATGGGAAACGACGTATTATATATCTAAGCTCTCGCGTCCAGTCTTGGAACCCCAGACACTCGGCCGGGAAACCCGATAAGCAAACCCCAGCTCTTCGGATCGGCGGAGGTCGGGTTCGGGCTTCGGAGAACGTCAATTACTATCCCACGGCCTTCACACCTTTGATTTTGTCAGTTTTTCAGCAACAAATGCCGCAATAGCACCCCGTTGGTTTCTAAGCATACTTATGATGGCACGGCTATCTGGTCTCCAGAGGGAGGTTCTGTCCCTCTATCGCAAATGCCTCCGAGAAATCCGAAAGAAGCCTGTCGTGAGTAGCTCGTCTGCGTTTACTTTTCCGGGCCTCGGAAAACTGCTGTCAATGCATATTGCTAATTTCTTGGTTCTTTTTATGGGTCCAGGAATCAAGAAACAACTTCAAATCCTTTGCACGGTATGCGCGGCTCCAAGGCTAAGATGGTATTCCCTCGCTCACGACTCGGTAGAACGGAATTTGAAAAGCACATGGCTATCAACAAGAAGGACTTCAGCGCGATCGAATATCTCCTCCGAAAAGGCTCGAGGCAACTCGAGATATACTCATCGTCCGGAATTCGAAATATTCAATAAAAATATCTGCGCGCTTGCATTAGGCACAGGACCCGGAACACCTAGTGATACGCACTTTCACATCATGGTCTTCCTCAATGCTGAAAGCTCGGTAACAGCGAGCTTTCATACATTTAGATGGGCTCTACGTTTCTCAACCCAAGAAAGTTGGCTGCAAGTGGATTATATCGAGCGAAGAGCTCGCTAGGAGTACCTTGGTCACCAAAGTAACCAGCTTTGCTCAGCAATTTGCGCCCTTGCCAGCTGTGCGGCAGGATTCAATGATGCCTGCGTGTACACAATGAATGGGGTCCACACTACCATTTTGTGCTAGGGAAGTAGGTAGGGAAACTGAGAAAGAAACCGGACAGCGCAACCTATCATTGCTGTAGGGGAGTTGAGATGTAGGTGTATACTACTGTAAAAATATGTGAAATATGAATAAAAGCTGTTCTATTATTGTTATGTAAGCGGACTCCTTGACATACACAAGAACCTGATCAAATATCCATCCATGCATTTGGGATGAGAAGATCAATACTCATTGGATGGTCCCTCGCATATACATTGAGGTCCGGCGACCCGGGGACCTACGGTGTATACATGGATCAAGGGTTTGAGAGTCACGTGACCAAAACATTACCGAGGTCCAGCGAAGCTTCGCGCAGCTTCTCGTTCCTTCTTATCTTATCTAGATGGTTCCGCAAAGATCTCGCGGAATCTCGAGAGCCTCAATAATCAACGCTGACAGAGCTGGAACCTCCTTGCAAATTCTCCGTCAGCAGCTGTATACATGCTGGGTCTTTCTAGAAAACAGCATATCATGTATATAAGAAGGGGTCAGGCTCAAGCCAAATTGGTTTCTCATCAAAATTTCAATCTACCAAGCCTCTATCCAACTTATCTGGTGATCAAAACACCACACTCCACGAAACCGTTCGCGATTAATCAGGCATAAAGTCAAACACAATTACAAACTCAACACATACAATGGCTTTTTTTCCTCGCTACTGCTCGAGCGACTTTGCTCCCTTGTTTCAGCTGCTCGACGACTACGACGTGCACCAAACTACTCATCGGCCAAACAAAAAGGTCACCACCGTCCGCACTTTTGCACCCAAATTCGACGTGTATGAGCTGAACGACCGCTACTACTTGGATGGAGAGCTCCCTGGTGTCGAGCAGAATGATGTCGACATTGAATTTTCCGACCCTCAAACCCTAGTCATCAAAGGCCGCTCCCAAAGAAATTACCACAAGGGAAAACACCCCGAATCTGATGACAGATCCGAGACCTCATCAGTCAAATCACATCAGCCTACAGTCGAAGACTGGGATGAAATGATCGACGCCACACCCATTACCGAACCATCTCCGGTGCCCACCGCCGAGGAGAATACTGCGGAGAAGAGCAGGCCTGAACCAGCTTATAAGTTCTGGGTCTCTGAGCGCTCTGTCGGCGAGTTCCACCGAACCTTTGCCTTCCCGACAAGAGTAGACCAAGAATCCGTAAAGGCCAGCTTGAAAAACGGCATCCTCTCTGTGGTGCTTCCTAAGGAGCCGGCCCCTCAGCTCAAGAAGGTCCGCGTGCAATAGATGGCTTCAATGGTGTGTATGCCAACACGACGAACTCCAATAGACTGTGACTGCATTGAGAAACGTCTAGAACCTCGATTTAAATTGCGACACCATGCAGATCAGGTTGTTTCGGTTATTTCCCCCACTTTTTTGCTAGGCTTCATCATTAGGTGGATATAGGATTGCATGGGTTAGCATTCTTCTTTTTTGTTTTTGTACTTTCATGATATATATAATAAAAGTGTGGATCTTAAACTTCATAATATTAAATTAAATGGTCTGGGTTGCCTTAACTGGCATCTCTCTACTTAGAAGTGACTACTAGACTAGAAGTAACTGCATGGTCCATGTCAGTTTAAGTATATCGCAATGACCGCCTGCATAGGTCACCGCGAGCCTATGTAGCCGGCCCCAAAAATATTACCGCCTCGGCATAGTGCAATATTCCTTAGAGTATGGAGATCATGGTGAATTTAAACTATCACTGCAAACACATGTGTATATGCTTCATGATGCATCACAACTATGAACACAATATTCTTCCACTACCTAATTCTTCGAACTCGTTTTTGGCGGCAGTTTCGGGTATTCTTACCGTTAGATCCTGCGTTGTTTCCTTTGAAAATGAGGCACGATCAGAGAATTTGACATTGTCAGTGCCAGGATTTGATTCCAAAAAAAAAAAGAGGCTATATTGCACAACAAGGCATGCGAAGCCAGTTCAATTCGTTTTTAAACCCCTTGACTCAGTTGTAGGGTATATATATGTGTATAAGTAAAAATTTCACTCCAAAGAGACAACAGGCAAGGAAAGACCGCAGCGCCGACTTGAAGAGGGAAGCGAACCCTAGCACCACGGACTCCAAAAGGGGGTATACCCAGTAACAAGCCAGAGAACCATGAAAGACAATAACTCCGACGTAATTTCATTAAAATCAAACGAGGGATAAAAAAATTGAAGCGAATGAATATACAACAAGAAAATCATGCGTGAAGGTCAGCAAAGTTTGAAGGCTGCTGCCCAGAAGGCCCAGGGGGCTGATGCGCGATAGTTTGGCTGTGCACCCGGCCGCCTGGTGGCTCCGTGGCATACTCATTGTTCGGCTGTTCCTAGCCACCGGAAGCCAAACGGTGGACTTGACACCACTACTGTGTCGTTGATGCTGTCGGGTCCCTATAGCTGCGAAGGATATTCGTTGGGAACCATGTTCGGATCTAGTCCGATAGGTATCCGCGCGCAGGGCAATGGTGTTTATTATGCACGTCATGATGGTCCGCGCCGAGGCGACCAAAGTTTGCACCTTGATTTGTGCCACCTTCAAAGACACAGCCTCCTTGGGTGGTAGGCAGAGTAGAGTATGGATATGATGCATCTCCTAAACCACAGGTCCAACAAAGGGCCTCGCCAACCTGTCCAGTTCCGGGATCATGGCTCCCTAGTATAGTTGATGGGAGCATACTAGAAGTCGTAGGTTCAAGGTTGTGGGCACAGGACAACGGAAGGGAGGTGGCGTCACCTAAAGTCCTTGGGAGGGGGAGTGACAGACCTCTCGCTCGACCGTTCACTTGAATATGTCGCTGGTGTCGGTGTATCCTAGAAACACTCATTGATCGCTCACAAAAACCTGGTCGACAACTGATAGGGTGATGGTCCGCTGGATTCTGACTGTCCGTTGTCGAGGGCATATTTCCGTCGCGTGATTCAATGTCTCTAGCACTGTCCCCCAAAGCGAATTTTCTAAATCCAGAAGAGCGCCTCAGAGATGCATGTGAATCTATGGAAGTCCTGTGAGAGGTTGCAGAACTGTACCCACTATCCATCTTTCTGTGGAGGCTTGCGTAACTACTATAACTGAGATGTCTTTCTGGCACCTTCGCTGAAATCGGAGTTAATGCCCTTTCCTTTTCAGAAATAGAAATACCTTCATCTTCAGCTTCACGGAATACCGCCCTGCGATGTGGTATTTCAGATGTTGGTGACTCATCGAACGAGAAAGGGCTAATAGGAAAGTCGAGGCCGTTTCTTGCCGAGGGAGCAGAGGGGATGGTTAGTGTAGTGGCCGGCATATCGTTTCTTCCGGGGGTGATTTGACGATCGATCATGGCGACGCCATCTTTTTCTACTTCCCCAGGAAAATTGCCCATGACATGACCCAGGTCCCTGGCGTTGTCGAAAACCGGGGGGCTCTTCTTGATGTATATCTCCAACCCGTCTGGTGACGTTGGCCGCGACACACAGCTATTCCTCTCGAGTGGGTGTAGAAGATCCGTGGAGTTCATAGTTTCAGAAATAGGCTCCGGAGTTGGGCTACCTGGGTGACCAAGCCGCGTTTGGTCACTAGGACATGGAGAGACGGAACCATTAACAACACGTAGAGACCCCAACTTGAGCGCTCCTAGATGGGTGTACCCGAGGTCGCTCGGTGTAGGTGGTCGTAATTGAGACAATGGCTCAAAATCGTTGTAAATGATTCCCTCATGGGTTATAAAAGCTGGCTCGGTGGGTGTCAAGGGTGTATTGCGAGGAGCGGGCGGAATAATTCCATTTTGATACTGTCCAGAGGAGAATGTGGGGGTTATATTTTTTGTTGCTTTCCGTGTGGCAACTCCAGGCCTTATGAGTAACGAACGTCGGCGAATTGGAAGGGAGTCCTGGCTATTAACCCTCGAATGGGAGTTTATAGATGAAAACCTATCAAGGTTGCGTCGTTGGATAGTGTTCCCGCGGTTTTGGGTTGGCGAATGAACTGAATACGACCTTTTTGGTTGTCCCATTAACGGGGATTGAGGGTTGCTTTGGAGGGTTGTCGGTTGAAATGTGGCAATTTCAGATGGATGAAATGATGTTCGCCCATACACTGATCCTCTCCTGCTTGGGGCTGGGCCAGGAGATGCAGGCGATTGCGACCATATATCGGCTGAGCTATGGGCACTTCGCCCAGCGATAGGGCGTCCATTCGAATTCCATGTCGTTGCGCGTCGCACTGGAGTAGAGGAAACCGAATGTGATCGCGGGTTGGGCGAGACGGCGTCCTTGGGGTCCTTGGGGCTGATTGGAACAGTAACACCCGTCCAAGGATTTTGCCATAAAGTCGGGGTGGACGGAAGAGAAAGTGCCTGGTCAAGCTGCCGCGACGAGAGCGAGTCGGGGCACCCTGGGGCAGCCTGGCTTTGTGGTGGCTTTGAGAGTCGATTTGAGCGTCGGCGCTTGTCTTTACTTTGAAGCGAGAAAGAGCTTCCCATGGCTCGCAAAGGGAGAAGAAAAGATTAAAAAAAAAGGAAAGAAGACCTGGAATTGTTGAGATCAGCCTCTTCTCGAACCAACTAAACAGGCAACACAAAGGCAATAGGGGTCTCAATGCCCAAGTCGAAGGATTGAAAACAACCTCTGGGCTGCAAGGCTTCAATAGTTGTTCAATTTTGAGTCGGTCAGACCATAAGTGGGATGATATGTATGCTAATTCGGAATAGACAGGTCTGAGGGGTTAAGAATTTAATTCCCATACAGTTCGAGGTTTGAAGGTTCTTGAAACAATTTGCTCCTTTCCCATTCTCTAAGTCTGTCTTCAAAATGGAGTGGATGGGTATAGATGTTGATGTTGCGATGCACTGGAACTGACGATCTTACCTAAGGGGTATTGCAAAACAAAGGCGAAAAATTAGTTACTGGACGTAAAAGACAACAATTTCAAGTATTGGTAGAAAGTACTCGATAAAGGGTAAGTGATAATAAAGATGGGGTATAGACAGGCCCGGAGGACCGGTACCGTATACACAGGATGGCCGAGTCGAGAACGGCAAAAATAAAGATATATATGAAGAAATTAAGCCCTCGTTAAGCAAACGAGCACCTGGAGGGCACGTAAGGGGATCGAGATACATAAAAGAGTAGGGTGATTTGATACGATGCCATGATCGAGGATGCAACTAACACACAACAATGACGAATGCGTTCGTCAATGGCAACCGCGAAACGGAATTGGCACCGGAAGATGACGAGATCGGCAGTGAGTGATCAGGAAAACATTGTTGATGATGCGGCGGGAAGATATGGATGGCAAAACATCAACCCCATGCAGCTGGCTCTGTACAGAGTGTCAGAGAATGTGTCATTTCCGGTCGCGGATATCGTCTGGAGCCTACCCAAACAGCGCATTGAGGGTGCCCAGGATCATACGTAGCCAATACCTAAGTTTAGGTAGTACTCAGTAGTGTCCTCGATGCTAGTCTCCTCCACAGAGTGGGATCAAGAAACATCAAGGAATTGAATCTGCGCTAGTTCAACGGCGTCTTCTTGCCAGCATGGGCGGGACCAAGAGGAGGCTGGCCGCCGTCCAGTTTCTGGCGGTGCCGGTTCAAGGTTTGATTGGGATCAACCCAGAAAACAAAATAGCCTGTCGAGCCTGTCGGCTGTGAGGCCTGGATCCATTCTGATACATGAGATGTCGGATAAAGTCTGGATGAGCGGGACTCCAACTCTCCAGCCTCCAGGAGTCAAGGGTTACAGATGCAGACCTCAACTGTCGGGTAGGAGAGGGGCTGTGGGTAGGTGTGGATCTGGCAGGCTTCCCCGCTCTTCAACTTTCAAACCCAACCAACTGTTTTCATACAACATCTTGTTTTTTTGTACAAGAAAGAAACACCGAGCCACTGTGTCGAACAGAAGCTGTGGAGGATCCACGAAACGTCGAGAAAACTGCCAAGAGTTCGATCTTCGATCTCTGGCTTGGTCCATGCTGTTTTGGGTTAGAAAGATTTTCCGCATTCGGTTCGCACCCAGAGTGGCGGGGATCAGCTGGCGCGTCTTCCTACATAGTACAGACGATAGCTTCTGCAAACAAACCCAAGCTTCCCCCTCGATAGCAGCCTTCGTGGCCGGGAACGTGTGCTCAACACTGGACAGAGTCGGTGTGGACCGGAGAGGCGTCCTGTAACCCAAAAACTTTGTCTCCTGCCGGCCTAACTTCGCTTGGTGGCTGTGCCGCACACCGCGCCTTTACCAGTCAAATGGCCGTGGGCTCTCACTCCTCGGAACAAGGCGCATTGTTGTCGTCTTTTCCCTTTCTCTCTAGTGTTGAGTTCGAGGCCGCCTGCCATGCCTTTTTGGAGCGTATTCACGTGGCAGGTATATTCACGGTGGGATGGTCTTCAATTCAATTACAGGTAATTTGACCCATCATTTCTGCCATCTTGCCTGTCCCTTCCCACATCGGCTAATACGTCTCGTATCTAACATTCCAGGGAACTGGTCCAATCCTGAAAATTTCACAGAATATTGACATTGCCTGCAACACTCTATTGGATGATGCTCGAACGTGGCCAGCGGACACTGAAGATGCTGAAGAGTCACAACTAGAAGCGTGGGAGGACGACCCAGTTTGTCAAATGAAACAGTCCTTTCTTATTATTCCCTGGCACCATCTGACAGATATAAACAGGTCGCTCTTATTCGTGCGCACGAGATATCTGAGAGACTGCAGGTAGATTACGATATCTTTGTCTCACCTATTTATCAAGTGCCCGTGCTGTATTTTATTACCCGGCGAGCAAACAAACCGCTAGGTATAGATGAAGTCTACGAATATCTGGTACCAAACCAGTACAAAATGAATATCCAAGGCGTGGGTATCATGGGTGGTATTAGTTCTGGCGTACGTGCCAATGACCTTGACACTAGAACGCGTGACTCATATATCGTAGTATCATCCAGTATCCGGAACACCAGCGTTTTTTGTGCACCCTTGCAACACTGCGGACGCCATGAGGGACATCGCGAGCGGACATGACATCAACCCCGAGACATATCTCATTATTTGGCTCGGGTTGGTAGGTAATAGTGTTCGCCTTCGATTGCCAAGCGAGCTCTTTGCGATGGCGGGTATCCCAGAACTCAGCAAATAAATATAGCTGGGCGAAACAGACGGCCATAGAGTTACTTGTCACTATATTTCCATATTTCCTCCAGCATGACTATATTAATCCTCATCCGATGAAGCTTCCATCGGCACATCACTATCCTCGTCCATTGGCGCTTCTCCATCGCTTTCTTCTTCGCGAGGTCGTTTAATACCTTGAGCTGTGCCATTGGGCTCACGGGAGGGGTTTGGTGGCAAAGCCGCTGACCCAGGAGGCCCACTAAAAATTGATTTCTGAAGATCCGTCGACACATTAGAAGTCTGGCCGGGAGCGGATACCGGTATATTGTAAGTTCCGCGAAGCCTTGCGATAACGTTGGATGTTCCCTTGGCATAAACGATTTTCTACCCACGTCAGTTATCAGCTTTAAACGCCCAGTACACTGAAACAGCGAATGACGAACCATTGACTTGCCGAAGAACTCAAACCCCTGAAGCGCACGTATGGCTTGTGTGCTTGCTTGAACATCTTTGAAGACAATATGAGCCTGGCCACGCATCTTTTCGGTTTTCATAGCCACAATGTCGAGGATAGTGCCGTAGGTGGAAAAAAGAGTATATAGCGAGAGTCGCAGGTCATGTTTTCGAAGCTTGTCCGGGAGATTGGTACAATATAACCTTAATAGTCGTTAGTGCTGGTACGTGTTACGTCTCTGGGTATAGAGACAACTTACGTTTGATTCGGAAGGCCAGCGGGTGGCTTTGCTGGGGTGCGCACCGGAGCTGCTGTTGTAGCCATTACCGACAATTGATTGAGTTCTGAGGCACTTATGAAATAAAGATCAAGAAAGAGAGTGCTTAGTGCCCAAGTGTAGCTGTTTCTCTCTTCAAACCCCAGATATAATGAAAGTTGGGTTTGTGCGAACACGGCTCATCAAGGTGATCAATTCATGTTGAAGGCCTAGCATCAGAATGAGTAAATCACATGATTGATATTATATAATCAACCAGTCCGATGGTGGGCCCCAATCACAACGGAGGCCCCCACCTCCAGGTACGTATCAACTCGACACTCCCACGACAGTAGAGAGCTCCTCCTGTCTTTATTAAAACAATGGCTACACCCGAAACCCATCATCTTTTTCACAGCTCGATTGCCGATCATTCCTTCTCGTCCGACAACTCGGTCCTCGCTGTTGCTCGAGAGAACAATGTGGAGCTTTACCGAAAGGCAGGTAGCAAGCTCTCCCTGACGGATGAGCTGAAGGGCCACGAAAAGACTGTTACTAGTGTTGATATTGCGCCCAGCTCAGGTCGTATTGTAACCTGCTCGCAAGGTATGGCATCTTAATCTAATTCAACGATTGCAGCTAATTTAATGTGGTTTTAGACCGCAACGCCTACGTTTGGGAACAGACCCCCGCCGGATGGAAACCAACACTGGTGCTACTTCGGATCAATAGGGCTGCAACCTTTGTGCGCTGGTCGCCATCTGAACAAAAATTTGCCGTCGGATCTGGTGCCCGTGTGATCGCAGTATGTTACTTTGAGGAGGAGAACGATTGGTGGATTTCCAAACACCTCAAAAAGCCGATTCGGAGTACCATCACCACTCTTGCCTGGCATCCAAACTCTGTTCTACTTGCTGCAGGATCGACCGACTCTCATGCGAGGGTTCTGTCGAGTTTCATCAAGGGTGTTGATACTCGCCCGGAGCCGAGTGCGTGGGGAGAACGCCTGCCATTTAATACCATCTGTGGCGAGTTTCTGAACGACTCGGCGGGATGGATCCAAGGCGTTTCCTTCTCCCCCAGTGGGGATGTACTTGCGTTTACAGGGCATGATAGCAGTGTCACCATTGTGTATCCAAGTGCTCCAGAACAGCCTCCTCGCGCTATGTTGAACATCTCGACCCGTCTTCTCCCGTTCAACAGTTTGATCTGGAATGGAGAGAATGAGATTATTGCCGCTGGCCATGTAAGTCATCCCAGAAATGACTTCTGTTATTGAGTGGCGGGGGAAATCTAACGTGAGAATGTAGGATTGTGAGCCGTATCGTTTGCGTGGAGACGAAAACGGATGGCAGTTGGAAGGAAGTATCGAGAACAAGGCAGGGGCTGGCGCTGGAAATGTCCGCGAAGAGTCTGCACTTAACATGTTCCGTCAAATGGACCTGAAGGGACAAACACAAGCCGACACACAACTCAAGACGGTTCACCAGAACACCATCAACACCATCAGAGTTTATGAAGATGTCAATGGCTCTGTGCACAAACTCAGCAGTAAGTGACCTGACTACAGCGTGCATTTGTGTTTATGTATAAACTAATTTTGGTCCAGCGAGTGGGGTTGACGGCCGTGTTGTGATCTGGACCATCTGAGCCATAGCTTCGCTAGATGATATATGTCCCAGCCTCGATACGAGCTGGAATGGTGAGTAAATATAGTAGAACAATAAATTATTCAGCCTTTTATAAGTCAACTACACACACACACACACACACACACACACACACATGCCTGGGTCATCCGCCAGGCTCAAAGCATACTACGCGTAATACAGCTGTCAAGAGTCAGACTCAGCTGAAATGATCCGGTGATGTCACCAAGGTATCGGACGGAGTAATCCGTATCTCCCAGAATAGGAAAAGCGTTGTATCTTGGCGCTACCCCAGGTTTACCAACGTCACGTTCACGGATCTTCAGAGTTCAGGCTCCCCCCGCAGATCAGCATCTAGCACACTCTTTTCCTGATATAATAACTCGAAACACCTCGGTGATGATGGCTAGACATAAAATACCTCATCATGATGGGTTTATTTTTTGATAGTCTGTACCTCGCGCTTATCGTTTTCATCACACAGCTATGCCGTCTTTCGGATGCTCACGCGGTACCCGTTGAGGCTACGGAGAAGAGGGATAATGGGCCTGATCGACGAGTCTCCCCAGAACTCTTCGACTCACTCGGAGAGTTGGCCCGTATCGTTGATATTGCCTACTGCGTCGGGACCACTGGTGTTCAGAAACCGTTCCAATGTCTCAGTCATTGTCGGGACTTTAGGGGCTTTGAGCTAGTCGACGTACGCGCCGCCCTGAACTCAAACTGTCCTGTTAAATAAACTGACAACAGGAAACTCAGACATGGCATACGGGCCCATTACTCTTTGACTCTTGCGGCTATATCGCCCTTTCGCACCCCCCCTCACCCAAACGCATCATCGTTGCTTTTCGTGGTACATACTCAATTCCAAACGCCATCGCCGACCTTTCTGCCTTTCTTCAAGAATACGTACCGTTTACCGGGGGCAATAACACTGACGGCGACGGGTCCAGATGTGCAGACTGTTTTGTACACTTAGGTTTTATGAACGAGTGGCGATCAACCCGCACGGCAATCCTAGACGCCATCTCCGCAGCACGAGACCAGTACCCGGATTACGCGCTGACATTAGTAGGCCACTCTCTTGGTGGCGCTGTTGCCGCTCTTGCGGGTACAGAAATGCAACTGCGCGGATGGAACCCTGTCGTGACGACATTTGGGGAACCGAGGGTGGGGAACAAGGCGTTTGTGGAGTATCTGGATACGGTCTTCCATCTTGATTCCGACAACGTTAGAGATTGGAAATTCCACCGTGTTACTCACGTGGATGACCCTGTACCTCTAGTTCCACTTAATGAATGGGGCTATGAGATGCACAGCGGGGAGATTTACATCTCCCGTGTTGAGCTTCCGTTTTCTGTTGACGATGTTAAGTATTGCAAAGGAAGATCTGACCAAGAGTGCATCTCTGGTGCAGAGGGATTAAGGACCAGTTCCCCATCACATCATGAACACGACATTGATTTCCTGGGGTCCAACGCGGAGCAGCAGGTTCTCTCGACCTCATCCTCAACCTCATCCTTTTTGGATGAGGTTGATGAAAGCGGAGACGAAGAAGAAATCTCTCGGGAACCTAAATTTCGAATCAAACCTCACCTTCCGTGGAACTTTCTTCCACCTAGGTTTCGACTGTGGGAGTTGTTTTACTCTCACCGTGATTATTTCCTTCGCCTAGGCCTTTGCATTCCAGGCGGTGATCCGTCGGGGAGGTGGTAGTATGGTCCGTGTTTCCCCTTTCTTATGACAATAATAGGATGTTGTTTTTCTTCTATATTATTATAGCATTGAGCACGCCAATTTTTGAAATCTAGGTTATACACTTCAGTGTGCCATCTAGTAGGCGGTTGACTATCTAAACTATCTGCACTTGATAAAAAAAAAAAAAAAAGTAAAACGAAGCGGCCAATGCTAACTCATTTACAAAGCATAAAGTGTATGCATGCTAATAGTGAACCAGTATCAACCAGTGATATAGATAAGAAGTGTAAACAAGAATATGACGGTGCAAAGTAGCTGTAAAGGAGGATGAAGGATATAAACATGAAAGAGATGTTGTACCTGGAGACCCGATTTTAGTGTAGTGGGGCTAGTCAGTCATTTAGTCAACTGGCTTCACTTCCCATGCTCCAAATTCGGCACAATGACAGGTCCATACTTGACCACCTGCCCAAACGATCCATCCCCCTGCACCATAAAATCAACAGCAAGATTCAACTTCCCACCTCCACCAGGAGGCGGAAATCCCTGCTGTCCATACATCGACAAGGACATCTGATTTCCACCAATGGAATCTGGGTCGTATGCAACAATGGCAATGTAATTTCGTCTGCCCATAAGCTTTTTATATTCACGCGCCTGGCCCGTCACATCATTTTGAAAGATTTCCATCATGTCTTCCTTTGTATCTGTGGGCTGGGAAGGGGTGGAGCGGTGGCCATTTGAAGGGACATAAAGGGGCTTATTGCTTGCGTGAAGCATTTTAATAATATAGGAAGGTGGAGGACTGTTAACGACCGAGGAGGAAATCAGCTGGTACATCGTTTTGTGGTCTGACGGCTGGCCAGGGTCATGGACTAGGCCCGCGCCGCAAACGTTGACGGCACCGGAGAGGAAGGTCATTCTTATGGATTTTTGGTGTGCGATGCCCTGGAGTGTGCGGATTAGGTAGGTTCTTTCTAGGTCCTAATTTTATTCCCACCCTGTTAGAAAACACGACGATCGAAATGGTGGGAGGTGGCAATTACCTTTGATTCATGAGTCCATTGGTCTCGAAGCTCGTCGAGAAGGTCGAATTCTCCGAATGGGCTTAGGATCCCTCCCATGAGTCCGCTCTTACCTACAGCACGCTTAACAGAGTCGAAGCCGGAGCCGACAACGTCCTTGGCTCCCACCACACCCGCCACGGAACTGGTCACCTTGCCCAGTACGTTGTATGCACCAGTGAAAGCTCGCTTGCCGGTAGTAAATGTTTGGGCAATATGTTCTGCAGTTTCTAGGCGTGGGTAAATAAGTGGAATAGATGACATCCACAGGCAGTGCTGAACTGTGGATGGGAGCATGGCAATTTTGGGGAAAATGCCTTGGTAGGTGGGCCCAGCGAGGACCTGATGCTGGTTGCGCTCCGAACGACAGTCAAGACCTACAAGAACCACGGAGGGGCCGAGGTATTTAACGAAATGCCACCCCGTACCAGTGATGGTAAAAAGGTCATGGTCTGTGCTGGCATTGCGTAGGATGTCGAGAGTCGTATGGTGCTGGAAAAGTAAGTACATTTCAATTCCGACACGACCAATGTTCTTGAACATATTGGAGAACTGCATATGTTCGGGATATGAGCCAAATCCGTCAAAGCTAGGCATGTCAGTTCGTTGGCTCAGGCAAATATATATTAGAGATGGACACTTACATATCATGATCGTCAATCTGGCAGACATACGGAATCTGAGCGAATGATTCCCTCAAATATGGCTGGTCGAAGTGGCTAGTGTAATAATGGAAGTAGCCATGAAAGACGTCTTGCTCATGAGTCGCCGTCCAAGGTGCAGTTTTTCTAGCCTCTTTCCCTCGAATCATGAGCCACTGCTTCAGCGACGAAATCTCCTTCCACATCCGATCAGCGTATATCTGGCCACCTAAACACAATTGTGCGTGGAAACCACCAATCTCAGTGTGTTTCTGCATAATGTCCTTCCACATCAGTCCAACTCCTCCCAGCCGTGACCTCTCGTTCTCATTCACGTTGAGAGAAAAATCATTGCCCGAGGTTGTGATGAAGCGCCAGCTCGCCTCATGTTGACCGGCGACCAGGAACTCATAGCGTGTGCACCCAAGATGCGATGTGATAGCGTAGGTCCATTTGGCAGGACCAGACTCGTCCATTTTCAAGTCAACCTCATATTTGTAGAACGTCCACCGCTGATGGGTAGATATGGAGATTGCCTTCAACTGGCGAGGGTTTGGAGATAAGTCGACGCTTTGATGAATGTGGATTGTGGGTGGTTGGGCAGCATCAGTGACCAGAAGAATAGATCCAAACCAAATACCGCGCTGGATATCCATGTTCGCATAGCGTAGATAAGGGCCAAAATAAACGCCATTTGTCGGTGCCACCTTGTACATCTCAACGCCGCTAGTTGGGGGAGGGCCAGTAAACCCTACTACGGATGGGGACTGCAGGCTTTCAAACCCAGGAGTCATAGGAACACCAGGAGATGCCAGTGGCTTTCCAAACGCCGATAATCCTGGCGAGGTGAGGGGGTGGGCGCTGTACACGCTTCCGACCGGTGACATCGGAGCTTCGTTGAGGTTTAGAGGTGTAGGTCCTTTGGGAAACTCCCATTGAGTGGACTGAGTGGGCAGGTGAATGTAATAGTATTGTCCTGAATTTGGATCTAAATGAGCAATCCAGCCCTCCGGGAGCGGGGGAGGAGAGGCTGGAGGCAGAGTGCCAGTTCCAGCCGGTATTGTATTGGCCTGGGCTTGTTGAGGCTGAAAAGCCGGGTGCTGTTCCTGCTGACCACCGTTTTGTACGTCGCTATGCGGCGACGGTTCTGATACGTGTTGCGGCTGTTGCTGCCTTGAATCGTTGGCGAATGCTGGATGTTCTTGCGCCGAGACCATTGGCGCAGCAGCCCCGGTCACCGCAACAGTGGTGGGCGCAGTTGTTGCCGGATGCTGTGTAGTCGAAGCTGCAAGGCGTTGCTTCTCATTGGGGTAGCCCTGGGAAGCGGATGATGGTCGTGGCACGCTTGAATAAGCTGGGGGAGGAGACGAGCTGATGCGCATCCTCTCTAAGTCTTGTTCAAGTGCATTATTCGGAAGTCTCCCAGGCTGCTGGGCCTGCGACGCTTGTGGCGGAGTTGCCGCCGGATTGGGAGCAAACTGGTTTGATGCAGGTGCCTGATTCTGTGACGAGACCTCTTCAGCGCCTTGATACACGGTCGGCGGTCCATGGGGCTGAGACCCCGGCAGTTCAGTTGGAGTCCATGGACGCTGAATGTTATTTCTAGGCTGTTGTCCGGCGTATTGTTCCGCTCTTCGCTGCGCCGCAGCACTCTGAGCCTGCAAGCCCGTCAGTGTTGAGGTACCCGCAATCCCCGAGGCTGCATAACGCGCTTCAATATCAGAAGTCGGATGTTGTCCTGGCTCGATGATGGGTGTTTCTGGCGGTGGGGGTGAACCTCGCTCGGCACGAGTTGTTGAGGTAGAGGCTACAGAGCTTATACGGTTGATGCTGTGCTGTCCGGGAGGCTGAAGGCTCTGTGAGGGTGTTGTCCGAGATGCCGGTCTCGATGAGGTGGATGGTTGCGGAGGAGGGTAGTAATGCTGATTATAATCCATATGCGCCGTACTCTGCGGCGGATTGGCAATTGGAGGTGCTGGTGCTGGCTGGTTCATCCTGGCAAAATACGCATCTCTATTCGAATTATCAACTATTGGAGACTCCGGTAACGGCTTGGGCGCGTTGCCTCGTCGCTCCGCCAATGTCGATTGCTTGGGCTCGCGGCCATCCCTGGGTCGCAAAGCGGCAGGATAGTCAACTGGCGATGGCCCTGATCCGCTCGACGTTGGAGAGGCACTGTGCCTGCCAGTCTGCGCTATTGGACTCGAACCACTAGAGCCCGAACCCCAGACATGCTGTTGGGGCCGTGGTCGGTCATCGGGGTATGGTAAAGGGGCAGCACCCGAAGCAGCTGGCGGAGGAGTTTCTCGTTTACTGATGCGCAATGGCCCAATGACAGGGGATTCGGCCTCCTGCTGACCAGAAGGATGCAGGAAAAGCTCCTCCTGGGAACGACTGTTCCCAGAGGGGTTCATATCGATGGACCGTTTCGTTGATCGCAGCGGGTTCCAAATAGGGAGCAGTATATTTAGCCGTCAGAATGTGGCAGCGAGAAAAAAGACGAGGACAGTCCGAGAGCTCAGGGGACGAAAGAGGAGCTGTCGAGGTGGGTTGAGAACTTGAGATGCGGGGTGGAGGAGAAGAACAGGCGACAACGGAAGAGCGTAGGAGCGCGAGGAAAGAGTGTACAAGCAGCGCCTTGCGACCCAACGACGTCGAGCAAGTTCAGCAGCAAGCGCAAAAGCCTGTGACCAGCGTCAACCCGACGGTGATCACCATCGGCATCACACAGCGAGCAAGCAGCAGCAGCGATGGTTGGTTGGAAGCGCTGAGATACGCGCCGCCGGGCTTTTTGGCAGCGCCTTGGAGTCTTCATTGGCCAAGCAGATCTGCGAGGAGGGGCTGCTCTGGCTGCGAATTGCCTCGCAGCAGCGAATAGCACCCCAGAGCCTGGCAGACACCCATCTGTTGGATGTGCAGGAGATGTTACTAATAATAATGACGATGCTCATGACAATGGCATTGATCTCTGCTGCGTCCTGAAACTGATTGACGGACAGTTTGGCTGTCTCCTGGAGCCCTGGGTCGGGTCGCCCCGCAGCGAAACCAACGACCAAAAACAAGAGAACATGACTCGTGTATTCATCGCTACTCAAAAACTCGAACAAAACGCTGCTGCTAATCACACTGTTTTTCTCAAGCCCACTCCCCGAGTTCTGAATGCTCACCCATAGTTCACCAGCCGGAATCCGTGGTTCGCTGCTACCTCCGACCAATCGATCTCCCGCACACTTCCTCCGCTTCGCGAATGCTGGAGTTGGGTTTCACAGACAATCCGAAGCATTGAGCTTGTCGTCGCCACATTGTACCCTAAATTTGCCCCCCCAAGCTTTTCCAGTAACTTCAACGCTATCATTTTATCGCTATGCGATGATGTAACCGCACCAGATAAGAATAATGGGAAGATGAGGAATAGAGGACCGTTACGACGGCTTTGAGTGATCATCTTTTCAGCGAAATGCAGGATCGCATTGATATGTTGTTGGATCTCTTTCTCAAGTCCAGTCTCGATTTGAGCTCCCTGGATATGCCCGAAACTCGTGCATGTGAAAAGAAGTGAGGTATGGAAGAGTATGGATAGCTGGAGAGTCGAGCACTTTAGCTTCACATTCTTAGCAACGAGACGTCAGGACCCTTATATGCCTACCTGGTAAAAGCTATGCTGAGACGGTTTTGGCAAATTTGGCTGGCTCTCCATGAAGAATTGAACTTCTTCCGAATTCCACAGGTGTTTGAAAGCTGTACGCATGTTCTCGAGCTCCCGGAAAATGAGCTCCGTATGTGCCATTTTCAAACTTTTCACTTCAGCTGTAAATAATCCGACACGCGCCGAAAGCATAAAACATTCCCGATACAGCCGCATAATTAAGGGTCGAAAGTCACATTCTTCCGGGTGCGTCACACTTGAGTTCTGGAGCCCCACAGGGTAGAGAAGAAATTCAGTTTCGGGAAGTAAATGGCTTTCAATCGCCGCTCTAACATAGGCCCCCTCACTGGCGCCGCTGAGAAGCGCATATAGATCAACATGGCAAGTCAACCAGATAACGAACGGATACCGTTCTCGCTCGGCCACGGATTGTCTCAATAGGGACAGTTGGAGTAACCGGGACATCTGATAAGACCATAAATTCAACCCGCTGTTGGGTGTCGTAAATGCGATCTAACTTTGTTAGCAACCAAGATCTCTCCTTTTTGAGAAGGGGGTGAATGTAAATGCGTTACGGACCTGGTAAATAAGAAGGAGAAAATGGGTCAGGAACAGCCCATCCGAGAGAATATCATCACAGTTTTGGAGGCTGCTCTGAAGAGAGGGTAGCGTTTGATCATAGTACTGTAGGGCATCCATGTAATGATTATTTCCTTGCTGAACTAAGCTGAGGGCTGACAGTGCCATCATGATATGGAGAAGCTATCACAATAGTCGTTAGGATTCATGCACCCCAAACAAAGCACTCGGCACCACCCACTGGAGGGAAATTGGAAGCCTCTTGCTCGAAGATGATCGATTCCAAATAGCCGTAGTCTCCGGGGATCAATTGCATCCATACAATATTTTGAAAGTGATCGAGGAGCGTCATGTCGTATGCTTCGAGATCAATGGACTCGGATATCTCATACTCCGGAATGCTCTGCAACGAAGTATACTGCGTCTCAAATGAGACGGAAGTGGGACCTAGTTCGGATTCCGGAGATCGCGTATGGCTCCGACGACTGGAATATCCATGTTTCCTAGAGTCTCTAAACTGGTTCAGGATCACCACGTTGGGGTCTTCGGATGTAGTGACCTCATCCATCAGGTCATGACTATTGTACTCGGATGGGGGACTCCAGTATGAGTCGCCAGGTACGGTTTCAAACGCATCCTCAGTATACTCTGGAAGGCGTGCGAAACTCTCTGGAACCGCAACGACATGGTATGTGCCCGGAACCGACCCTTGCGCTTTTTTCTCCCGGTCTTCATCTGAAGTAAGCTTCGAGAAATCTGGGAGCAAGTCGCAGGGTATTGAATCCGAAGTACCAAGACGTTCCCTCCAGAGCGACATCTTTGTTGCTGGGGCCAATCAGTACCAGTTAGTATGCGGACATGGAGCTCTTTGGAATTTGTCGAGTTAGGGGCATGCTCACGGTCCCAAACGAAATTTCCTTTTGTCTTGACATCAGGCATACGTTCCATAACCCGGCGGGTGTCATCCCGAAAGCACAGCCGGGGTTGGTAGTCACAAACATGGCCCAGCCGTGCGCATTGCTGGATATCGATCTATATTAGCACACATATAAAGGGGGCATACGTGGTGTAAGACTAACATTACACTGTGGATGGACCTCATCACATTTGACTAAACACACAGTCAATAAATGAAAACTGGAGGGGAACGGGATGTCGTAAATGAGCAAGGCTAAAACTCACTCTTACGACTCTAAACATGTCAAAGATTCCAAGTCAGCGCGCTCAATCGGCTAAGGCGACGTGTGAGTGTAACATAAAGGGAATATTTAGCTTACTCTACATGTCCTAGTGTTTGAAATTGAATTAGCCAGGGAATGTTAAAGAAAACCTGATGCTGTGGCGCGCAAGGAAGAAACATACCAACACCCAGTTCTCGATCGCGGCGGAAAGCGCAGGCGAGGCTGTATCACTGTCGCTTTGGTAGCCACCGGTGTGGTATCATGGGATCGCAAAGGCGTCACGTCGTCTTTGGGCGCAATGGTTGGTAAACGCAGAGGGCGCTTCCTAGAAGACGGGCTTCTGCGGGTGGACATCTTTGAATCGAGTATCGTCATGGATTGGGGGAATCAATACGACGATTTGAACGGAATTCAGCAAAACATTAAATCTCCAGTTTCGAGAAAACGATGGAGCAAGATTGACGAGCTACCATTAAGCATATATATAGTATGCCGCCAGAGCCTCATGAGCCACGTGTGGGCGACAATGGTTATCGGGGTGAACCCTGCCCTGGTTGCAAGATTTTACCGTTTGATAATAACACAAGCGGTAATCAGAAGCGAAACAGCGTGGACACCGACCAGAAGGGCCAGAAATTGGACCGAATTGATCATGAAGACAGGTCCTCAGCTGGGGGTGGGGAGCAGCCAGGACAAAAATAAGCACGCCAGCATCGCGCACACCGTGGAGCTATCCATGATCAGACTAGCGGAAGCAAGAAAGGGAATCGAAATTAAATTGACTGGGAAAGAAAAGAGAGAAACAGGGAGGTGCATGAGACGCAATCCTGGGACAGCCGTGACGAAGTGCTGCAAGACTGCGAGGCTACGAGAGGCCGCCGATTTGATTGACCAGAGAAGGGAACGCCGAAAGACGAACGGGGGATGAGAAAAGTCTAGCGAATGGGGGACGACCGGAGGGAATGAGGCCAGCGCCCGAGACAACCGACGATTCGTGCGATTCGTGCGGGTTGATTTGGGAAGATCGCAGCAGGAGCAAAATAAACTACGGCCAAGCACAAGTTGGTGCAGCTGCCAACCATGTGGGGATTCTACGTGCGTCTCGCCCCTCTCTCACTCACTTTCACACTTTCTGGCTCTCACTCTTCATCCTCTCGCTGTCGCTCCTGCATTGCTCTTTTCTTTTTCTTTCCCTTCCATCGGGCTGCAAAGGCTCGAGACTCAGGCTGGCGGTGGCGACAGAAATAGAAATCTCGATCCTTACAACCTCTAGAGGCGTCAGGCTACTCTGCCTTGTCTCATTTATCGGGCTCCGGAGGGGGTGAGTGTTTCCTGTCATTCTTGCCTCTGCGTTTTCTTGCAGCCGAAGCGGCTGATTCTTTGTCTTGCAAAAATGTAATACTCTAGTCGTATTCCAGTCGTGGCCCTAGATAACGAGGTCGGACGCTTTTCTATTCCTGGCAAGCAATAATACGAAAGTCCAGCAAACCATCCGCTCGCTGTCGGGCCTTGGAGGCTTGGGCTGCCTCTCAGCGAATAATGGGTACTGGGTCCAGCCCGGACCTTGAATCCCATTGACCCCTCGCCCTCTGCGCTTGGCCTGCCATGTGCCAGTAATAAACAGGACTACCGATGAGACTAATTTAGCGCCCCAGAGAGTCGCTCTGGCTTCTGATTACTCGGAGGTTTGTTTTGCAGATTCTCTTGCGCCTCCGGCCTGGCCATGCATGGTCTGGAGCTCCCAAGGGCGAGAAAGGAATGCGAGGTGCAGCTCGTCGGCCAGAATATTAGGCTGAGCCACTGTTGGCCCCTCGGCAAGTAGCACTCATGATTCGCTAGTGCCTGCATGACTGGCGTGACTCCGAAGAGGGTGGAAAATGCATTACTCTTGTCGCACTCTATCGTAAATAAGGATATTGGTCACAAAACACTAGTCAACACATTCGGCCGAGGCCACTCTTCACGCCATCTCCAGGAACAGAACGGACCGCAGCAGTCGGCTGATGAACCCTCCTTTTCGCTTCGCGCTCTCTCCATTTGCGGGTCGGGTGACACTGACACCGCTGATAGGGCTCCTCCTGTTCCGGCTCAAGGGAACGAACTTGACTGGCAGCAAACTATTTCTTAGCTGCAAGCCGTCCCCCAAAGCTGGCCAAAATACAGGATGGACTCCTATCTCCAAAACTCCCCCGGAGTCTCAGACATCCGCGCCTCGTTCGGCGTCCATCACCCGTCGGTGTTCAAGGGTCATAAGCACTTGTTACCGCTGGGAAACGCCCGAAACCTTGTCGTCTTTACTCTGATGCCAACTGTCCGATCACCTGATCAAGAATCTGTCTGACGGGTCCAGACCTTTCCTCTTTCCTCCATTCACTGACGGACTTTCGTAGCTCTGGGCCTATCTCCCGTCCCGTTTGTTGGCAGAATTTGACGTAAGAAGTCGTCGCTTCTGCACGTCCCTTTCGGATTGCTTCAACGGATAAATCAATATCACAAAAGAGCAATTCCCCTGTTAACGTTGCCAAAATCACATGTATCTCCCGTAGATGGTTAGTGTCGACATTTTCCTCTGAAGCCCATGTGTCTAACTGAGCGAAGAGGAGACGTAACTCCTCATACAGAGTAATCTGCACTTGCTTCCCTCCATGTGCCATAGCTTGACGGACTTTCGACCTCGATTCCACTACGTATCCATCAAGTGCTGTGCGACCCAAGGCGTAATTTCTTTATTAGCTCATTGATACGGAGGCGGTTGCTGGACGCAAAGAAAGGGTCTTCTCACCTTCCGGGGATGTTTGCACTGCTTGTACTGCCGGGCTAAGGCACTGCAAAAGACATTTTACACACGCCGCCAGCGTATTCTCCAAAGTTTGCTTTGCCCCGGGTCCGCTGCCAGAGTCGATGTCCATGGGATCTCCTGCATCGTCAATGTCATCCAGCACATTGGAAACAATGTTGATTGCTTCAGCCGTAAGATTGAGGTCCCTGCGTGCTTGTGCTACTCCACCCAGAGCAGTCAGGCCATGTGGTCGATATGCAGGGTTATTTCGTTTGGCCTCTCGAATCGTAATATTCTGAATTCAAATAAGCCCAAAGCTCGTAGCCAAGTTGCTGAAAATGAAACAATTGCAGAAATAAAAAAGGATTCAAAAAAAAAGAAAAAAAGTTAAAGGCTGACTTACCTTCATCAGTTCTCCTAGCGGAGGTTGTCTTTGCCATAATTTCTTCGCCTGGCTTGCAAATCGCACGAATGCCTTGAGCACATTTTCTTTTCCGTCCCAGGTCTTCCCGGCCAATGCCTTTTCTAAGACAGGCCATACGTACTCGCTCGTACCCAGGTCGATCTCCGAATCCAGTGACATGATAGCGTCTGCGATTGCCAATGCTGCGGTGTGCTTTATTGCCCACCGAGCTGATTCTAGGTTATCCCTGACAAGGTAGGTGATTTCCTTGATGTACAGTGACACGGCTCGATTGCCACCGACATTATCCTGCCACGTTTTCTCAAATACTTCACGGACATGCTCATCCAGATCGTGTTTCGCAACGAAAATGAACGGCAAGGCGGTTGAGGCAAATGTCATGAACCGATCATTAGATAGCTTCGAGGATGAGTGTAGGATCTCGGCTGAAATCGCTCGCTGATTGGCATCTTCAGCTGTCAGGTATAGAGTTTTGGCGTATTCAATTGTCCTCAGGATTCGGTCGTCTGAGGCCAGCCGCATGAGATAGCCAATGGATGAACAGTATGACGCGCTGACGGTGTCGTTCCTGTCGACGACATATTTACCAAGAATCTGGATAAATCGATCTGCGTAAGGTCGGAAGAGCACCGTGCGCATGCTCAACAGGACTAGTACACGGCTGCATCCGACCTTGGATGGAAGACCAACAGCCGAGCGAATAACGCCTTCCAGTTTTGCCGCGAATTCCTTCATGCTCGCATCGTCTAGCATATCGATTAAATATCGCTCAATAACTTCCATCATCGGCGAAGTACGAATACTAGACAGTCTCATCTTGTCTATTTCTTGCCCTGTTAGCCCGTACTTATCGGCATTGAGATGGACGTAGTTGACTGCCTGTGGCTCTAGTGAGCTAAGGCAGTTCAAAAACTGTTCCATGATGCTAGGAACGAACGGCCGTAATGAGCTGCCAGGCCCTTTCTTTATCATCTGTATTAGAGCTCCGAGGGCAAATCCCTGAACCTCTTGGACACTAGATTCCATGCCTTTATCACTTAATAGGAAGGGGATGGTGCTTTCGAGCATAGTCTTCACGCGTTTCGTATCAGGATCGCTCACCTCCAAGGTGCGGATAACGGAGCCGGTAATTGTCTGGCAAAGCTTTAAAGCCGCAGTTCGAACGCTCTCTTTGATATCATCAACCAGCTTAAATGCCTTGGTAAATATTTCATCCACATATTTGGCATATACCTCCGGCTGCCGACCCTGTATTAAATCTGCGATTGCCGTACAACTTGCCTGCCGCATTCGCCATTCTCGACCAGCCAGCATGCTCTTTAAGAGATCTGAAATGATTTCATCGAAATGAGCGCCGATGACCGCATTTGGATCCTTGACCAACGCAAGCCATATGGTGTTCATAGAGCGCTGCACATTTGGATTCGGATCAAACCGGTATCGGAAGAGTTTAGGATAAATCTTCGGGTTTTTTGCAAGGTATCCGTTAATACTGGAGTCAGAGAAAATACTGCTGATACCGATCTTGCTAAAAGCCGCACGACTGGTCCAGAGTGCGTTGTTGGAAGCGAGTGACATGAATCGATAGACGAGAGTTGGATCACCGGCTTCGGAAGCAAGGTTCATGATATCCTTGTATGTATTGACAGATGAGCCTCCACCGGTAGGTAGAGCTCCAGGCTCGAAGAGCTCAGTGTTCTCATCGACTTTACCTCCGCCGAGGTTTGCGCTACTGGCCGTAAACGAGTCCACTAAGTCACGCACCAAGTCATCCTTGAGAGCTTGGTCACCCATCTCGTATACCAAGCTAAGTCCTTGCGCCCCGGTTTCTTGGACCATCTCGTCGCGGTCACTCAACAGGCTAGCGAACGTGATCTGGCATTTGCGGAGACGGCTTTGTATCTCTTTCATGTGACCACAGTTTTTGACCAAGCATAGTAACCATATTGCAGATGCTTTCCTTAAAGATGGTTTTGGCGCCCTGCAATTAGTAATGAGTTTGTCACACGCATCTGCAAGGACCGATATTGGGGTTTTATTTTCAGGAAACTTCGCATCGACATCGAAATTGGGGACGAGCGACTTGGAATCCCAACCGGCGACAGCATTACCCAGCGCTTCACCCACCGTGAAGTGAATTTCTGGGCTTCG